TCTGAAAGGCTGAGTGAACTGTGAAAAGTCATCTGGTGAGTCCATGAGAGCCCTGAACAGAAAATGTTGACCTTAACTCTGAAGATGCTAGACTTCAATCTTGAAGCCTCTTATGCCCCTCTGGGCTTGTTGATTAAAAGGAGAGGGTAGGAGAATATAGGTGAGTGATTTTTTTTTCAAGCAGAAAAATATCCCTACTGAAATATTTGCGTGTAAATGATGAAAATATTGATTCACAAAACAATTATGCCAGGAGACTCTGAAAGATTGAGACATTCGGTGAGGTTTTAAGCAAAGTAATTAACTTCCAGTGCACAAACTTCCCTCCTGCAATCTGCTGAGGGAGCAGATGCCCAAATATTCATGGTATCAGACTGAGAGGATGGTACTTGCTTTTTTCCAAGCACCAGATGGTTCCAGAATCCAAAGTCAATGGAGAGGAAAGCCTGACTTTGTTTGGCTTTCAAAGTTCTCATTGAGGGTTTGTGATCATATTTCAATACCTAGTAGACAAATGTAAAGTCATTTTACAACAGACTTCCATTTCATAAAGAGAAAAGGTCAAGGGTGAGAGGGAGCTTGAAATATTATCAAGCTCATTTAGAGGAGGAGTCAAAATTGCAAAGATTTATTTTACTTTTGTGTTCAATTTCTAGTTCAAACACTAAGAAGTATTTTGCCAAATTAGGGTAAGATTAGAAAACTATAGAATTTCTATAGTGAAGAAAAGTTTCCTAAACTTCTAAATTTTATCTACTAGCATTGCCTGCAGCTTAAATCAATAAAGACAGTTCATTTGCATAAATATACTTTGAAAAGATTAATAACTTCCATGAGGGAATGTGTGAAGCTCTGGCAAGAGGAGCAACAATAGTTTACTTCAATTTAACACACTGTGTTTGGCTAGCATTTATATCCAAATCATTGAGCTAGACACCAGGGTACAGTGACAGAGTGATCTCCCAGAAGCAACTGGATTTTGTCTGGTGAACTATAAACGTGCATCATTAGATAAAGTATACCATGTTTCTGTTCTTTTTTTCATATTCTCCAAATAGAAATTTTTATGGCAAGGGAGATAGACTATTTCATTATTCTTTTTTGTAAAAAAAATATTTTATTTTATCTTTAGTTATGTGTATGTATAAACATGTGTGTGTGTCTATGTGGAGGTATGTACACACAAGTGCAGATACCCTCAGAGCCCAGAAGAGGGCATCAGAGTCTCTGGAGTTGGAGTTAGAGGTAGTTATGAGCTGCCTGATATGGGTGCTGGGCACTGAAATTCAGTCCTCTGCAAGAGCCGTACATGCTTCTTAACTGCTGAGCCATTTCTCTAGGCCCTCATTTTTCCTTTATAGTGAGTTTTTGCAAAATGTATCTTATGATAGGAATGTTTACTTAAAAGAAAAAAAAAAAAAGGAAACATACTATACCTAAAAGAGGTAGGTAAACTTTGGAAGCAAAGCATAAAGTTGGCAAGAAGTATACAAGGGCTCCAAAGATGGAAACGTAATGAAGTTGGGGGTGGGGGAAGAACGAGCAATGAAAAATAGCTGAGGTCTGGAGGGGTCAGCTCTCCTTCACTGATCATATTCTGGAACGTTCAGGGACCTGAACTCAGAGGTGTTATAGACAAAATTCTTGTCTGAGAGGTTTGTCTTTTAAGGGACAGAAGGTCAAGGAAAGAAGTGAGACTAAAAGTTGAGAGAAAGAGCAACGAGACACATTGGCTTTTTGGATCTTAATTGTTTTCATACAGATTGAAACAAAATGAGAAACACAATGTAGTGGAAGAGAGAGAGGTTCTCAGTAGAGTCAGGACTGCTCGTAAAAATCACAGAAAAATCAAAGTCTGGGTCCCGATGAAGAATGACATTCAATAACAAGGAATAAAGTGACCAAGATTGAAGAAAATCCGATCATAAAAATAAATCATTCCATTCTAATTATCTAAATTGTGAATGATTAGCTTGAATTTAACGGCACCTTGGTGAGGCTGCAAGCTAATTTAGTAAAAACCATTATCTTACATACTGCATAATTATGCTGAAAATGTTCATGATATAGAGATTTGTTTCTTGGAGGCAATGATAGTGTGAACTCAGACCTAACAGAAAATTAAATTTTTGTAAGGAATGTTTAAAATGGCTTTTATCTCAGGCATAGTGACATAAAGATGTCTAGGTTATTTTTAGTGGTGTGTACATGTTCAAATATTTCACATCAAAAAAGATTGATTTCTATTACTGCATTTTAACTCATTCTCCAAATATATTTCTCTTAGGGATTAGTTCTCTTTAGGACCAATAAAATAAATAAAATAAAATAAAATTCATGACTTTTAGAGATACATTAAATGTAACACACTGAAAAATCTATTTTTAAAAACCTGCCTGGTGAATAGCATTTTCCAAGTTCTAATACTACTCTATTGTTTGGAAGACAGTATAATGTACCTTATAGAACCTTATACCTATAAGGTATAATATACCTTATAGAACCAAATAATCTAATATTAATTATTGCTTTCCATGTATGCCATCCAAGATAGCAGTCCAGGCCATGTCACCTCATCAGTGACCAGGCAATACTGGAGAACTTTTGTCCAAGTAACTGTATTTTAGACTTGGGTCATTCATGATTGGTTCTATACCATATTCACGTCTATGCTGACATCACCTAGCCAAGGGCCTGAATCATAATACTTCTTGTAGTCTTGTAGACATACTGATGGAAAGATCTAGGTCTAAATCCAACTTTTACCATGGTCTGAGAAATCCTAGCTGATTTATTTATTTCTGAACTTCAGTTAATCATTTGTAAAATGGATATTTAAAAGTTATCTCTATTGTTATTAAGAGGATTAAACTAGGCTCCAGGCATAGCACTAGGGATATAATAGAACTCAATAAAGAAGGTGTCTACCATAGCACCATGAAATCATAGGCACTCAATTGTCCACATGTGGCTCATTGTTGTACCTAGATCTTGATCCTGATAGAACTAGTCCAGCCCAGGGACTGACTCCAGACATCTCACTTCTCAAACACTTAGACAAGGTTCTGCATATACTTTGGATTTTTTGTGTGTACATGTGTGTATACACATGTGTGTGTATTCCTGTGTGTACATATATATGTACATGTGGGTGGAGGCCAGACATTCACATTATATGTCTTCTTCAATTGCCCTCTGCCCTAGTATTTTATTATTTTATTTTATTTTATTTTATTTTATTTTATTTTATTTTATTTTATTTTATTTTTTGTCTTCACTCAATCTAGAGCTTGCTGAGATGGAAAGCTGACTGGCCAGGAATCCCTGTAATCTTTGCCTCCTCAGAGCTCTGATTAGAGGCACATACAGGCCTCTTCAATTTAGCACCTGAACATGCTCTAAGTGACCAAAGTTTACTGTGAGGCACTGGTACACTGGATGAATTTTAACTCCATCCTGTACCTGTGGATTCCATGGGAATCTACAGGTGATGATCTCTCATCATTGAGGAAAATCAAATATCTTCATCAGAAGAGCAGACAGAGAGAAATGAAGACTGGCTTCTCTGAGATTTTAACTTCATAAGATTTAAACTATATCCTCTTTCTAGTACAGTTAGTAATATATATATATATTATATATATATATATATATTACAAACTTGATAATAAAGAACCAGGTTAGACTTATTTATCTGGAGGTTCTGCCTGCACCACATCCTCCTAATTACGAGATAGAGCCAACCGATGATCCACTAAGCTCCCAAACAGTTCCGGCTAACCTCTTCCTTCGTGATTTCTAATGTGCATTAAAATAACCTGTCTTTTATTCCCATCAAACTAAACTCTTCTTAAAGCCAAAAATCCACACTCATTTCTCTATCTCCAGCAGTTTGCAATGTATCTGGCACCTAGTAGGCATTATAACTTACTAGGTGAACAAAATCAGTCATTGATTATTCTGTCTACAGAGACTTACATGATCTCACATAACAAGAGTCTTTCATGTCCTCAAAATATATTTCAGCATATACAGGTTTTTGGAAGGCGCAAATCTTTAATAAAAATAAAGTTAAAAATTTAGACCTGAATAAATTATTAAAATATATAATCAGGCTTCATGGCAAAGCACAGCAATGGTCATGAATTATAAATCTAAGAGGTTTTGAGTTAACTACTATATTATTCCTTGGATTGGTCTCATTCATTGAAGGCATTTAAATTTAACTGATTCAATCAAAACATGAAAATATTTGTTGTCCTACATTCTCTTGATGGCAAGAGAATTCCAACCACATATGTGTCACATTTTTTCTCAAGCAGGGAAAAGACTTGCTTTTTTTTCTTCTTAGTAGACAGAGGTATTTCCATCAATACTTAGTTTCTTAGCTTCCCTGACATCAGACATTGTAAAAGGTATGAACAAACTCATAGAATTATCAACTACTGAACTTGAACTTTTATGAATACTCATTTCAAAAACGACCCTGAAGCTATTAAAATTGATTCTCATAAAAATCAAGCAGCTTCCCCCTTTAGTCAAACAAGCACGATTTTTAAAAGAATGCTACCAGTGGGTGTGACATGAAATATCGAATCTCATACTCATAATATATCCTCCATTCATTGTGGATTCATTCACCAGGAAATGAGAAAGAATGCAATTTCTTTAAGGCAAGTACGAAAAGAGAATCTTTATGAAACTTTCTCATAACAATGACAGTGACAACAATCACAACAGCGACAGAAAACTCTTCTAACTAGGCATTAAAATATGCATGAAATGGTCTTGCAATTAGTCACGTCTGTCTGACAGATTTCTTTCTAAGGAGAATTTGTGCTAAACATTTTATTTCGAGCCTCAGAGATTTTGATAAAAGGAGAATAAAAAAGCAAACTGCAGTTTTTGCTGCAAAAAGACAGGTGGCGTAAGCATGCAACGCTTTAAAAGATATATAAAGTGATTATTTTCTCTCGGATTCTTTGAAAAAGCTCGCTTGCGCTGGGGTTTGAGGCTGAACCGGTGACGTCAACTTGGAATGCGGAGTCAGGCGCCACAGCTCTCTATAAGCAGAGGAGCTGTCCGGTGCTGAAACGGCCCGAGCCTTCACCCAGCGGCCGAGGAACATGCTTAGCATCTTCCACACCATATAAGACAGAGGTAAGATTGTTTTTCTCTTGGATTTACTGGAAAGTTCTCCATTGCGTGGTTTTGCCTCATTTCCTAGCTGAGAAGAAAAAGACCGTTTTGCAAGCTTATATTGATTGAATAACTGAAGGACAACCTGCTGCTCTCCAGCTAGTGTAAGGGCACTCTGTATGTGTTCGTAAATGAGTGGGTCTGCGATGTAGAATTCTTGCTGGTGTGTATTTGTTAACTGGAATGTTATTGTTGAAACTGTATGCAAGGATAGTCAAAAGTTAAGGATTTTAGTGTCAACACACATATTAATGTAAAGTTAACCAAATCTGATGTTTTGATTTTTTTTCTTAATGTATTGTTTTTCTCCCAAGGGTAGGAAATATGGATGTAATTTATATGCTTAATATTCTTAACAGTAGGTTTCCAAGGATTCAAAGGTTATTAACCACATGAGTCACAGAGGCAGCCCATTTTTTTCTTTTATATTTACCTTATGAGAACTTTGAATTAACTATTTATTTTATGAGCTGCTATACTCTAGAAGGATTTCGGTTATTATATCCTAATTTTGGTTCTGAGAAACTAGCTTAGAATGGTCCAGAGCATAGATTTCTTCCCTTTTCAAAGGTGATATATTATCTTGGAGTACAGGTTGGATGTGAATGTGAATTACAGAGAAATGATAACTTTGAATACAGGATGGAAAACATTCAGAGCTGTATAGATTAGTATTGTAATAATTATGCTGTGATTGGAAGAGATAGTATATTACTTTCCTGAAAAGGTTGGTTGGAACAAGTTTTTCCTTTATCCCAACTAGTTGAGCTGTTCATAGTAGATGTGCTGATGCTTTGGTGTCAATGTTACTGTCTGAGTTCAGAGGAAAATATATTTTAATAACAGCTGTTCAGGGAGCAACGTTGTTCCTATCACTTGAATTTCAGAAAATTAACTGTTAAAGAAAACGCTATATAAGATATTAGAGCTATTAAAACCATATTTACTACTTCAAGAGATGCTACTCTGGGAAGAAGTACTTTGAGTTTTAAAGACAGTAACTATACCATTTATTTTGAACCTGAATGATGGCCAGATAGAAAAAAAACGTTCCTGTTAGGTTGTAGTTGAAACTGCAATGGATATTCTGTTCCAAGTCTACAACAAAACCTCCAAAGTCATAGTTGTACAGACAAGCAAATAACCTATGTGTTAAAATGTGTTAATAATGTTTCAAGATAATGTTTTCAAAGAAAATAAGTCCAATAAGATTTTCAAGATTATATTTTAAATATCAATACTTACAAGTGATTACTGAAGTTAGATTATAATGAAATAATAGATAATATGTCATGTGCTCTAATTTAAATCTCAGAATTTCCTGAATAAAATCACTTGCAGTAATAATTTATTTATGGTAGATATTTTGAAAATATTCTCTGAAATACCAAGATATTCTAGTTAATGGTAATTTTAACCAGTATATGTATCTATGGTAAAGAAATTTATATAACTGCAGCCATTTGTCAGCTCTAAAAACTGGTAACATGCATCACCAGCAGGCTCTAGTGAGCATATTTTGATGTCTGAACTAATAGAAAATTGTACCCATATAACCTAGCTTATCTATCACAAAGCCATGATACAGTCAAGATAGGAACCAATTTATGAACTTATTTACATGCATTTGTTTGCAACAGAATTTGCAAGTATTAAAATCAGCAAACAGGAAATGTGTAAGAGTGGTTCCTCTCACTACCTCATCTGCGAGATTTTTAAATATTGGAGACAAAAATGAATGAAGATTTTTAAGTTGGAAGAATTCAACACATCATCTGTGTTTATCTAAATTAGGAATTGCATAGTGGTTATTTTAAGATTTTCTAACAGTATGAGTCATTTAAGATTTCACAGGTCCCTACAGAAATAGACACAGACATAAGACAAACTGAATCTGAACACTCACAAGCTTAGAAACAGACTAGTTAAGTAAACTTATGTTCTCCCTGTAACATCTGCTTATTTACTATACACTACAAGGAAGATGAAAAATAACCATAATTGTATTTTGCAAGTCAGCCATAATGCAATTATTAGAAGAATATTGGAGCACAGAAAAATTTAAAACAGTGTAGGTTATTTTAGCATGTTTTCACAGAAAGAAACTTCACTGGTTTAACATAGCTGAAATCTGGAAAGACCCAGGTTCTAGGGATTATTAGTTGGTGCTTGGATTTACTGTTCGAGGGAGATGACCAGGACTCATGAGGTATTCAGTATTCTTGACACTAATGTGCTGAATTATGTCATCATTTATAGGAACTCCACCACCGCTGCATTCCTACAACAATATTGAATAGATAAATCAGAAAATAAATCACGTGGGATTTTTTTCCTTTGACACAATCATATGGGCATAATTGTGTGTGTATGTGTATCCTTTACAGCAAATTATTTTGTGAATATTTTTAATAGAATGCTATTCAAGGATGTCTTAGCAAGTCTTATCTAAAAGCATGCTAAAAATCAAACTACAAGTTTTATAAGTGAAAAATATAAAATTTGAGAAGGCTTTTGTCAGTGTCTTTTCTTTCTTATTTTAATCTGCCTGATGCAAATGAGTAGCAGTTTTACTATAGATTCTTGTGTCAGTGTGTGAATATAATGTAGGAAATACTCATGAATTGTAAATATTTCAAAGTGTAATGTGAAATTATGTCTACTCCTTTCTCCCTTTGGTGGTCGTTTTTTTTCTTCCTAGAATGTTTTCTAGTTTGTTTTGTTTGTGCTAACTCTTGTTTTCTATGCTTTCAGGAACTCTTTAAAACATGGCAGAAGGTAAGCCCTACCGACTTGGAGCAGCCCTGTCTCTTATCCATTTAATTTTCCTCATCTCTGGAGCCGAAGCAGCTTCCTTTCAGCGAAACCAGCTGCTTCAGAAAGAACCAGAGCTCAGATTGGAAAACGTCCAAAGGTTTCCCAGTCCTGAAATGATCAGGGCTTTGGAGTACATAGAGAAGCTTCGGCAACAAGCTCACAAGGAAGAAAGCAGCCCAGACTACAGCCCCTACCAAGGCGTCTCTGTTCCCCTTCAGCTAAAAGAAAATGGTGAAGAAAGTCGCGTGTCAGAGAGCTCAAGGGATGCACTGAGTGAAGATGAGTGGATGAGGATAATACTTGAAGCATTGAGACAGGCTGAAAATGAGCCCCAGGCTGCCCTTAAAGAAAACAAGCCCTATGCCTTGAATCTGGAGAGGAACTTCCCAGTGGACTCAACTGATGACTATGAAACTCAACAGTGGCCAGAAAGGAAACTCAAGCATATGCAGTTCCCCCTGATGTATGAAGAGAACTCCAGGGACAACCCCTTTAAACGCACAAATGAAATCGTAGAAGAACAATATACACCCCAAAGTCTCGCTACACTGGAGTCTGTCTTCCAAGAGCTGGGGAAACTGACGGGGCCAAGCAACCAGAAGAGGGAGAGAGTTGATGAAGAGCAAAAACTCTACACAGATGATGAAGATGACATCTACAAGACCAACAACATTGCCTATGAAGATGTGGTAGGGGGAGAAGATTGGAGCCCCATAGAGGAGAAAATAGAGACTCAAACCCAGGAAGAGGTGAGAGACAGCAAAGAGAATACAGAAAAAAAAGACCAAATCAATGAAGAAATGAAACGGTCAGGGCAGCTGGGGCTCCAGGATGAAGATACCCGGAAAGAGAGTAAAGACCAACTCTCAGAAGATGCCTCCAAAGTCATCGCCTATTTGAGAAGGTTAGTGAATGCTGTGGGCAATGGGAGGTCACAGAATGGGCAAAATGGGGACAGGGAAGCCAGGTTTCCTGAGAAACCTCTTGATTCTCAGTCTATTTATCAGCTGATTGAAATCTCTAGGAATTTACAGATACCCCCTGAAGACTTAATTGAAATGCTCAAAGCTGGGGAGAAGCCAATTGGATCGGTGGGGCCAGAGCAGGAGCTTGACCTGCCTGTTGATCTAGATGACATCTCAGAGGCTGACGTAGACCATCCAGACATGTTCCAAAGTAAGACCCTCTCCAAAGGTGGGTACCTCAAGACACCTGGTCGTGCTGCAATGGAGGCTTTTCCTGATGGGCTCAGTGTTGAGGACATTTTAAATCTTTTAGGGGTGGAGAATGCAGCAAATCAGAAGCCCTCATATTTCCCCAATCAATATGGCCAAGACAAGGCTCTGCTGAGGCTCCCCTATGGTCCTGGGAAATCTAAAGTCAACCAGCTTCCCAAAGCTGCCTGGATGCCAGACGTTGAAAATAGACAAGCACCTTATGAAAACCTGAATGACAAGGACCAAGAATTAGGAGAGTACTTGGCCAGGATGCTAGTTAAATACCCTGAGCTCATGAATTCAAACCAGATGAAGAGAGTGCCCAGCCCAGGATCTTCAGAAGATGAACCACAGGAAGAAGAGCTTGAGCAAGCCATCAAAGAACATCTAGGTCAAGGCACCTCCCAGGAGACTGACAAACTGGCCACGGTGAACAAAAGGTTCCCTGTGGGGTCCCTGAAGAATGGTGATAACCCAAACAGACAGTACTTGGATGAAGATCTACTCATGAAAGTGCTGGAGTACCTCAACCAAGAAGAGGCAGGACAGGGGAGGGAGCACCTTGCCAAGCGAGCCATGGAAAATATGTAACAGGCTTTAATCATTGCCCGATTTTCACTCCTTGACCCCATGTGTACCCCCTACATTTCTCTCTAGTGTGTTAACTTCTATCCTGTTAACACTGTAATATCTTTAAATGATATACAGGCAGATGACTCCAGGCCGTTTGGAGAGTTTGCTTCACTTACTCTGAGCTGTTCTCTTGTGTATGGATATGTGTAAATGTTATGATTCTTGGATTAAAAATTATGTCCTTTATGTAAGAAAGATATCTATGATAATGTCTAATCATGTAACTAACGGCTGTGGCATTGTCAATGCTCATATATGACAGGATGATCTATAATTCTCTTGGAAGTTTTTAACATTTATTGAATTATTTTGTTACTGTCTGTAGTGTTTTGTGGAGTACTGAGTAACAATAAAGCATTATAAATATATAGTTTTACTTATAAGGCTTTTTCTATCATGTCTTTTATTGTTTATTAATAAATATTATTCCTGGGTACCTTGGGATTCTTCATTCTGGAAAACTAGAGACAAGGATGTGGAGCAAGCAATATGGGGCCAAAAGAGAAGATTATTACTGTCCACAGGCAGTCCAGGTAAGAAACAACGTTCTATGTGATCATGCTTTCTGCCTGTGAACATTCTCCAGCAGCCCATGGCTTATGCCCCCTCATGTTTTTTTTTCCACATACTTGATTTACAGAACAAGTCTCTGGGTATACTTCCATCTTTATTCTAATTTGTATAAATCCAATACATTAAATCTCTGATACCCACAAACACTAAAATGAAAGAAAGGAAAGGAGAGGGCAGGATGGAGGGAGGAACAGAGAGAGGAAAGAGGAGGAGGAAAGGGGGAGGAAGGAGAGAGAGTAAAGGAGGGGAGGAGAGGGGGAGGGAGGAAAGAGAGGGAAGGAGGGAAGGAGAGACAGGGATGGAGTGAGGAATGAAAGTTAGTTGCTAAGTACATGACAATAAAAAATGACTACAGATTTGGAGGCAACCTGCCTATTCCCAGGTTCCCTTGGTCCCCCAAAGACAAGACTGTTTGCGATGTAAGTGAATTAGCACAGGCACAAGAACAGGCCATGTGTTCTGTCTCCTACCTTGGTGGACCAGGTCCTGGTGCATAACTGTAACAAACAGCATCACCACGGTGGGATGATATCAGCATGCTAACATATCAATACATGTCAGTGAGAACAGCAAGAACAACCACTGCAGAAAATATGGCAAGCAACAAAATACTGGTGATTATAAAAGACATCAATCGTAGTTATTTAGCAAGTGCTTGAAGGGTGCAGGCACTGCACCAAACACTCTGCGTCCTTTAGCTCGTTTGTTCTACACCGTATCAGTCTCCTACTTTATATCTGGGAAAACAAATCTCAGAAAAGTTAAATAGTGTTCCCTGAGTCATCCCACCATATGTTATGAAAATCAGTCATTCTCATCACTTCCTTACAATCTTTACGCTCTTCTGGGTGTTCCCTTTTAGCTGAGGGATGGAACAAGGGGGATGGAATGGTGACAGGCTCATGAAATTTCACTATGGACCACTTCAAAAGGAGGGCACACGTGTATGCCTGAATGCAGGTGTGTATGAGTGTGCATATAGGCATGTGCGTGCATGCACATGTGTGCTTCTCTGTGTGTGTTTGTATCTCAGGGGATCCTGAGCTGTGAAAAGGTTGTGGAGGAAGTCTGGAGAAAACACTGAGTATAGATTTTCCTGCTTTTTGCTAGATTCTTTTCTGTTCAATTAGCATATAATTTTATGCAACTGTGGAATCTGTAGGCAGATGGCAACTTAGAGGTGATTATCATTACAGAGATTCTAACACATTATCTTAATTTTTGATAAGTCCCTAGATCAGAAAGCAGTATCGTGAATGGTGGCGGGAGGCTTTAACCCCTCACTAACCACAATTCTCACGAGTATACCTGTCCTCGTCTGCTTGGGACTGTACCACATTTGGAGTCAGATGTAAGCAGACTTCACAAACTGGGGCTCCTTCAAGTGGATAGCATTCCAGGATATTATGGTCTAAAATCTCCAGAATATTTTATAAGCCATAGACCCTGCCTGCACACCATACGCTCTCCAACTTTCAACAGCATGCAGTAAGTTGTTTTTGGATCTTGAGTTAACTGCTTGATTGCTTTTGTTCAAGACCTAAGCAGAAACAAGAACGTGACACTCGCATCTCAATCCGGTGGATTCTTGCCTACACAGTCTACTAAGAGGTTAATCAATGAGAGCAAGCTGGCAGGCATAGCCGGTGAGGCGCTAGGCTGGATCTATACACAGATAGGCAGGCTGCAGATGCTCTACTTCACACTGCACCTCGCTCCCTTTTTCTGAAAGCCTCAGTCAGGCTTCAAGTTCCGTGATTCTCCAGTGCAGACATTGCAGGCATCAGGGTTGGCAGTTGGAGAGATATTTCAATTTGGAACATACATTCTTTGCCTGACTTCACCCAAATATTAGGTATACTACCACATCCCCAGCTATTGACTCACCAGGTTTATTTCTATTTTTTCAATAAGTACTTCAGTATGCTGCTGTTTAGCATAAGAAATGAAACTCCAAGTCCCATTCAAAGAGGTGGATGATAAATTAATTAAAATTAGGGCTGTGTGTTAGAGGCCTCCTGCATCAGAAATCAAGGGTGGCTCAAGCTCGCCAAGTATTTTCCCTCTGTAAATCAACACTGGGAGGAGAAACCGCCCCCATCCTTTGTGGGAGTCCATGTTTCCACGTGGGAACAAGATAGGGCCAGCACTCTATCTGCTCTCTGTTAAGACTTCCACAACCCAGACTTTCCCTCTTCCCAATGGGTTGTTCACTTAGGTACCTTAGGGACAATCAGCACAAACCTGGTTTTGTGCTCCTTGTAACAAGACTTCCAAGTTGTCCTTCATCTCTCACACTCAAGGCTCTCTAAATATTTCACTTTTCTGAATCCCAAGTCCTACTTGTATTCTACAACCCTTCACTACGTTCTTTGATAGTCAAAGTTAATAAGCAAAATGCTCTGTGCCCACAGCTTCTGTGAATACTCTTCCAATGTCTTCCTCTAAGAGAACCCAGCTAACCCTTAAAGTTCCTGCTTTCCTTGCAGCGCTCCTTATTTCTCTGCACTGCTTGTACCTCATTCTTCTCTCTCCAATTATGAATGCTGTGGAAGCACACATTATCTCTTACTGTTGTAATCTGCTGCCCTGGGTCACTTCCCCTCATTCATAAAAGATAGTAATGATAGTTGTATCAAGTTGATACAGTGTAGAAGTACCTGCAAAGAGAGTCTCAGTGAGGGATTTCCTAGATCATGCTGGTCTGTGGGCATTCCTGTGAGGGATTTTTTTTCTTTACTGGATTGAGGTGGGAAGGTACCATTGTGAGTGGTACCACTCAGGGTTCAGGATTTAGGTCCTGAACTGTGTAAGAATGTAAAAAGTGAGCTGAACAAGTAGGTATGCATATCCTCATTCTCCCTCTACTCTTGATTGTGGATTTGACTAGCTACTTCAAGTTCATGCCTTGACATCCCTGCAATAATGAATTGTAATCTGTAGTTGTAAGCCAAATAAAACTCTTCTCCCCTAAGTTGTTTTATGTTAGAGCATTTTATCACAGCAACAAACCCAAAGTTAGGACAGTAGTTTTGCTCAATCAGTTTTGAGCACTGCTTCTCTGTGAACACTTTTTACTTTCAAGATCTACGAAGAAAACATTTTGAGTTTTCAAAGCTCCTTCCTTTATTGGCTTTTGAATTGTACTGGCAGGTCCTTGACCTTTCCCTTATTAATAACTGTGACTTATTCTAAATACTAATTAACATTCAATTTATACATGTCCAACGTTCTTTCTCTCAATTCCAATAATCCTTCCACTACCCCTCAGCATCGAATCCATTTATCATGTTTCTAGTCCCTCCCTCATTATCTGTGCCACTCACCTGGGCAAGCATACATCTCATGGCTAGTCATTATAATCACTCCCTTGAAAACACTCTTCACTGCTTTCTGTCTCTAATGCTTCAGTGTAATTTCTTTGATAAACAGCAACTTTAGTTAAATCCAATTCTCTACCAACTAATTCTCTCTCCTATAGCTGAACATAACAAGAGCAAGACAGGTAACCACACTCTTGTATTTAATTTTAAATTCATGCTCACAGCTCTCAAGTGACCCACAATGCTCTCCTGTAATGCTTGTATATCTCTAATCCATTCACTCTACCACTCAGACAATAATATTATACTCTTCTTTCTAAGAGTAGTAAACAGTGTCTTCACAGTCTACACTGAGGAATCAACCTAAAAAGAGGGATTACAGGTTCCCACTTTCACCTGTGTTTTCTCATGTTTGATTTTGTTTCAGATGGCTGATCTATGTTCTTCTTTTTATTATCCTTCCCACTTGTGCCCTGGATCTGTTCTCTTCCTTACTAGGGAAAATTGGTTTAACAATTTTCCCCGTCTTTGTTGCATCTACTTAATCATGGTTATCAGTAAACAAATAGACTGCTTTCTGTGGTCTGTAAACAACCTCCCGACCTGCTCCCCCTGTGCCTACTGCTCCTCTTCTCCTCCTTATTGAAAAATCTTTCAATGAGTTGTGTGTACTTATCAAATTACAAAGGAATTCTCAAATCCCTTTTAATTAGGCTTTTTCTACCTCCACATCAGTAGCTTTTGTCAAAATATACAGTAACCCCCAAATTGCAAACCATGGTGTCAGCTCCATGTTCTTGCAGTATTTGAATGAATGGTTGTGGCAGCTTCTTATCTGATTGCCAATTTGATTGGACTGATAAATAACTGGGACATTAATGAGATACATCTTTGGGCATTTCTGTGAGGGTGTCTTAGGTTTATCTGACAAGGGAAGGCTCACCCTGAATGTGGGCAACGTCCAGAGACTGGGATTCTAGACCGAATATAAAGTAAAGAAGGAGAAAGCTAGTTGAACACTAAGATCTCCCCTTTTCTATTTCCTGGTTGGTACCACAAGTCAAACTGATCACACCATCATTCCTTCCCTAACATGATACACTACAGTCCTTGAGCCAAGAGCCAAATCAACCTTTCTTTCTTAAGTTACTTCTTGTCCAGTGTTTGATCACAGCAAAAAGAGAAGTAATCAATACAAAAAAAAACAAAAAAACAAAAACTGACACTGAGACGTGGAATTGCTGTTGCAGTAAACCTGCCCATGTGGTATGTAGGCTTTGAAAACAAATTTTCAAAAATGACATGGAAGAGTTTGGAGGCATGGGTTGGAAAGGCCCCAGAATGCTATAAGTAGAACTTAATTGGCTATTGTGGCAGGAGTATACAAAGCTAGAATGATTGTAGAAGTGAAGACAGTAAAATCCAAGCTCATAGGGTTTCAGAGGGGAACAAGGACTTTATTGGGAATTTAACTAGAGACCATCTATGCTATATTCTGAAAGAGAATCTGGTGCATTCTGCCAATTCTCTG